GTTTGAGCCTTGCCTCAGACTCACAGCAGCAGAGCCAGTGGACAAGAATAAACCTGTTCTCTTTTATGATGATTTTCCTCAGTTTTGTCACAATGATAAAAAACTGTCTCAGGCAACCATAGTTTTTTTTTTCCCATTGTTGTTCCTTGGGGGACTACTATTATGTAAAGAGACAATTTCTTCATTCCTGCACCCCGACTGCCACCAACATCTTCTGGCAGATGAAACCATGTGAATATCTTCCCTGAAAACTTGAACTGAAGCTTTCTTTCTATCACTTGAAGATTTTACAGAATTCCTGAGGAATATTGCCATGGGATTTTTATCCCAGCGTCAAACAGTTTTCAAAGCAATGGTTTTTTTTCCATATGAAAATAAAAGGAAAGGGGGCTAGAGAGATGATTCAGCAGTTAAGAGCACTGACTTCTCTTGCAGAGAACCTGGGTTCAATTCCCAACACCCACATGGCAGCTAACAACAGTCCGTAACTCCAGTTCCAGGGAATCTAATGCCTTCTTCTGATCTCTGCGGACATTGTACAACATGGGTGTGCATACATAAATACAGGCAATACACTCATATACATAAAACAAAAATAATAAATAAAATATTTAAAAAAGAGAAGAAAAGGAGAAAGCACTCCTTATGAAATTCTGAAATTTCAACTACAGTATCTGTCATCACACTGATGGTACACACATAAGGTATGTCCCTTTTACCCAGTGAGCACGATGTTTCCCTTTAACCATGGTGACAAAATTGTACATTAGATAATCATATGCTATCCACCTCCCTACTAAATATTCCTTGAAAAATAAATTTCAGTGGTTTAACAATTTCATCACATAATTTTATTTCCAATTATCCAACAGTTCCCTGTTGGTTAATACTTATGTTTACATTTTTATGCTAGTGTAAATAACACTTAAGTAATTCAAGTTTTCAAAAACAGCCATTTCCTTAATATAAATTTCTCTGAGTAAAGTCACTGTATCAATTGGACCTGTCATGCTTCTGAAATTGCTCCCTAAGAAAAGTTAAATTGTAGTGAGTAAGAAGGCAAATGAGAGCTGCAAGTGTAAAACGAGGCAGATGGAAGCTGGTCGAAGACATGCTGACCAAAGGGGACGGTCATGAGACAAGCCTCTGAACTTCCTGCTTATGTGAAGTATTCATCCTAGACCCTCTCACCCAAATTACTGTTCTCCTTTACATGCTTCTGTGAAATTGTTTCTCCAAAAGGATCAAACAAACCCAAGGCCTTGGGCAACCTAGATAAAGCACTCTACCACTGAGTTACATCTTCAGCCCTCACGAAATATTTTTTATTTTTTTTAAATTAGCATACAAGGCAACCGGTTTCTGTACGGCACTTTCATTCATACTTAGTTTTGGTTGCTCCTTTCTGACCCAACCATTCATCTTCCCTTCTTCCTGGTGAAACTGTGTGCATAAGTGTAATCTGCTGTCCTTGAAGGTCCCGTTGTTATATTACCAAGCTTTGGATTTAAAAGCTTGGAATTCTACAGTGTTTAATGAATGTTCAGGTGAAACCATAAAAAACTGAGCTGAGTGTAATTAATGGCTCCTTAATAGTTTCCTAATTTTTAGAGATGAAGAAACCAGCTCAGATTCTTGAGTTGACTTTCAGAGGGCACATGACTAAGTCACTCATTTAGGGTTTTACTTCACGTCAGATCAGCTCCAAATGATGGTTGTTTTAACTACCTCACAGTCAATTTATTTGCACCATTATCATTATTCTTGTTGTTGTATTCTTTCATTTTTCCTTCCTTCCTTCCTCCTTCCTTCCTTCCTTCTTCCTTCCATCTTTCCTCCTTCCTTCCTCCTTCCTTCCTCCTTCCTTCCTTCCTTCCTTCCTCCTTCCTTTCTTCCTCCTTCCTCCTTCCTTCCTCCTTCCTTCCTCCTTCCTCCTTCCTTCCTTCCTCTGTCCTTCCTTCCTCCTTCCTTCCTTCTTCCTTCCTTCCTTCCTTCTCCTTCCTCCTTCCTCCTTCCTCCTTCCTTCCTTCCTTCTCCTTCCTCCTTCCTTCCTCCTTCCTCCTTCCTTCCTTCCTCCTTCCTTCTACCACCTGTGGGATTGCAAGCTCCTTCCTTCCTTCCTTCCTTCCTTCCTTCCTTCCTTCCTTCCTTTTGTGCTAAAATTGGAACCCAGAACTTCAAGCACACTAGGCACATGCTCTACCCCCGAGTTATACCTCCAGTCATTGGGTTTCTTTCTTTTGGAATACTTATTTGTTTATAATCCTCAGTTTCTGATTCAAAAGTCCTTCAAAGGAGAGTAGCCAGTGACATACTTCCTCCAACGAGGCCCCAGTTCTTAGTTTCCACCACCCCTCAATAATCAAATTATGAATCCATCAATGCATTCATCCATTGATTAAATCAGAGCCTTGTGAGTCAATTATTCCTCAAAAGCCCTGCTTCTGAGTCTTGCCATGGGACAGGGTGGGGGACAAGCCTTCAACATATGAGCATTCTGGGGGTAATCTTCATATCTAAAACACAAAATAAGGATTTCCCCTACACTATTGCTTCAGGTTGACTAGAATCTCCCACTTTGGGAAAGCTAGACTCCTTCAAATTCACTTTGGTTCTGTGGCACTCAGCACCAGTGGTTTGGTCTGCTGAAGCTTCCTGCAGACCTCCCATAAATTTTACTTTTGTTTATTTGAGACAGGGTCTCCTTGTTGCCCCAGCTGTGTTGGAACTCACTATGTAGACCAGGCTAGCCTTCATCTCACAGAAATCCACCTGCCCTCAGCCTCCCAAGTGCTGGATTAAAAGTATGTACCACTGAAGTCAGTAAATTTTACTACTTAATAAAACCTCTCTGAAATGAAAGTGTCCAGCCTATCGATCACCAATTCTGAGGTTGTTTGGGATGGGAAATCTTCCCAGCTAGAACAAGGCTGCTGTGTTAGATTTTATGGTAAGAATGTGTGGCAGCCTGTGATACAATCTCATTTCAGCCACTTTCTTCCTGCCACCTACCAGCCACTTAATATTTCCATACCTCACTTTCCTTGTCAGTGGAATGGGGGAAATAATTGTACAAGCCTATAAGATTGTAGAGAGATTTTAAAAATGGTTATTGTTATAGGACAGAGTTCGTAAAAAATCACCAACACCACTTTAAGAAAAGTAGCAAGGTAAATTTTAATTTTTGACCGGCCGGGCTGTCTATCTCGTGAGTAGAAGCAGCCCTGGTGATTGTCAGGTCAGAGTTTTTATAGGATTACAGAATTATTATTAAAACAGGACATTTGTGAACCAATCAGGTTTGTACAACATAGCAGAATTTTGACTCTATTAATCAACAACCAATCATTATACAGACAAGGTCATACTATAACAAGATAACAAGGGTGGTCTTATGCCCTGTGTCAGGGTGACCCAAGACAGCAAGCAGGTTACAGAAGTGAAAACAAGCTGGTTAGTCAGATGTATAATGTCTGGAATTATCACATTCCATGATTCATGGCGAGGGCGATTTTCCAAGGCCCAAGGTTGCCCCCCTTTTCCATTTGGTGTGTAGCAAAGTTGCTGCTGAAATGGCTCTGAACAAAATGGAGTAACTTAGGGAAGTTCGCTGAGTCAGTTCATTCCCCACTCCTGTTGTGAGTAAGGTTAATTCTTTGACCTATTAGGTATAGCTTTCTTCAGGCATTGGTATTAATTGTTCATACTGGGTTCTATTCATCCTTTCTACCTGACCTGAACTCTGTGGATGGTATACACAATGTAACTTCCAGTCTATCTGGAGAGCAGAGGCTAAAGATTTGGAAACATGAGCTATGAAAGCTGGGCCATTGTCGGACCCCAGACCAATAGGGATGCCAAATCGAGGTATAATCTCATTTAGTATTTGGTGATTGCTGAGATCCCTTTCTTGAGCATTAATTCAGTGCTGGACTAACCTAATACTATCTCTAATCACTCCAGTATGGTTAGCATAGAAGCAAGATTTGTCACCCAGTGCCATGTATAATCCTCTTTGTTGCATAAAGACAAGATCTAACCCTCGGCGATTTTGTAACATCACCTCAGCTAATGAATCGAGAGAATAAGTCAAATTTTTGATTTGATGTTCCATATCCTTTAAATCTAGATTTATTTTCTGGGTGAGAGCTTTAAAATTTACTTCCCCTTTTATGAGTGCAGTGGTACCTATTGCTGTGGCACCCACTATACCTGCTCCTATTCCTATATTGTAAGGAGGTCCAGGGTCTAAGCACAGCCAGCAGTCTCTTGTGAGACTTGGTTCAGTAGCATTGAAAAACTCATATGTATAAAGCAAAGACTTATATAATTCAGGGGGGTCCCATCGTGAAACGCTATGGGAATTAGCATATATAATAGGGGGTGGCTCTGACATAGTAGGAAGTGGCTTTGGTGGTAAGGGAGGATTAAGGACTTTGTTAGGTCCTATAAGTACTGGAGGGCTTATAGGAATCTATATTCGTATTCCCCATGTCCATAGAAGCAACATTTTTCACCCAGTGCCAGTTTTGTAACATTACCTCAGCTAAAGAATCAAGGGAGTAAGTTAAGTTTTTCCATAGTTATACCATGAGTGCCATGCTGAAAGGAAATCCATTTATCCTTTGATCTGATCCAGGAAGCAAATGTCTCATATCCCCAAGTTCCATAATGCCACTCATTTTCACGGTTACAGTCTGGACTCCCATCTGCTGGACATCCATAAACCTGTAAGCTTTGAAGTTTTTTTCATAACTAGGAGTTCCATATCCCCAGGGTCGAGGAGACGGGACACAAATAGTTACTCTTGTAAAGAAAACAGATCACAAAGGCCAAACAGAAAGCCGGGGGAGTGGTTAGTGGTAGTGGCTAAGATCTTACCATCTGAAGTTCTTTTTAATACCCAATTATCAGGGGATGGCTCATGGGGATTTCAGTCACTGTACCCAGTAACAGTTTTTATTATCCAGAAGGAGAATATAAGAATTAAGATTTTTTTCACCAGTCTGACCTTGAGGGGATTGTCTGTTCTTTTTACTGTCCATGTTTGAGGAATGTGGTCCGGATGGGCTCTCTTAACTTGGGAACGGTGACTCCAGTGGGCATGTCCAGCAACCTTAACAGCAGTTGGAGTCAGCAAAATGATTGGATACAGACCAGCCCACTTGGGTTCAAGGTTAGGCACTTGATGTCTATGGACTCAACTCCAATCACCAGGTTGTAGATCTGTCTGTTCAGTGGTCAGTGAGGGATGACTGGGCTCATGAGTCTCCTGGACTAGTCCATGTATCTGGATCAGAGCATTTTGCAGAGCCTGTGATGACTGTAAAAGGCTGTAATTAGATATTTTTACCAGGTTTTCCTCCCCTAAGTGGGAAGTAAGGGGTGGAGGTCACCCAAACAAGATCCCAAAGGGAGTAATTCCTTTTACATAAGGAGTACATCTGGCTTTTTTTTTTTAAAAAAAAAAAGCATTTTATTACAGCTTTAACATACTCAATAACAGTTTCCAGAGCAAAGATACATCTCTTTCAAAAGTGGCTATAACATTTTTAGGTTAGCTGTTAAAATAATACAGTTATACAATACTGTACTCAGTATAAGCCCTGTAAGGGGCAAAAGGAACAATGCTTATTATACTCTTCCTTACTTACCAGTTACCATCAGTCTCTATTATTAACTTAGTCAAAGTTTCCTTAATAGTTTTATTCATCCTTTCCACCTGTTCTGAACTCTGGGGGTGAGATACACAATGTAATTTCCAGTCTGGAGGACAGAAGCTAAGGTTTTAAATACACAGGATATGAAAGCTGGGCCATTGTCAGACCCCAGACCAATAGGGATGCCAAATCAAGGTACAATCTCATTTAGTAGCTTCTAGGAGAGCAAGGGTTTTTTTTTTTTCTTATTTTATTATTTTTTAAGAGGTAACCCAATTTGCCTATGGGGAATCAGGACACAGACCACTCTGGCTTCTTCCATGCTGAACAGGGACATAGAGTGTGGCAATTGGGGTACCCCTTCAGTGTTCAGTGGGTAAAAACTCTCAAATTGAGACATGAAGAGAAGTAAAGGCAAGATAGTTAGCATTACAAGTTCTAGACAGGGAACTAGAAAAAAGTCAAAACAAGGCAAATTTCAAATGATCCATCTACTGCTTGTTCTTTTTTTTTTTTTCTTTGAGCCACAAAGCCTGGACTTGAGGATGATGAACTTAGGATTTGTTTTCAGATACTCTGATAGCTGTTGGAGTGCCTAGAATCAGTAGATAGAAAGTAAAATAAACTTAGTCATCATTTTAGAACAATAGCAGCTGTAGGTGGGCACTATAGTATTGGAGACCAAGATTTGAAGTCTTATACCCAAGCAGTATTTTCCTGTTAAGAACAAAATCATTACTGAGAAATAATTGTCTAAATAAAATTTTACCTGGACTTAAGTCTAATGTCTGAGAAATACAATTTTTTTTTGACTCTTAAAGAAATATACTTATTATTTTAATTTTTGGTTATACTTTCTTTTTGGGTGTTTAAGACCATATAGTTGGCCCAAATAAACCATTTTATTTTTACTTTAAGGTCAGTTGAGGATCTGGTCCTCAGGGGTGACGTGGGCTTGGCAGGGAGCCCCTGGCTCCTTAGGCTTTCTTTTACCAGTTCCATCTACATGAAGATAAGTCAAGAGGTCCTGCTCGACCTGGGATTCGCTTGGAAGCATGGAGAAAATGTTTCCTCTGTGCTGACCCTCCTCTTTGCAGACTGGACACTGGTTTGAGTCCCTCTGGTGGGGTCTCCATGACCTCCCTGAACAAGAGGACAGGTGACTCTCCAAAGTTACAGGACATTTTGAGAGATGTGCCATAGCCCCTGGAGCTTGTTTGATCTTGGAGGGTAAGGAATAGAAATTTGTCCCTTTAAGTCCCTCTAACCAGATTAATATAAGCCTTAGAGTCTGGCTATTAAATATCTAACAAGGTTAGTTTCAGTCTGGTACTTTTAAGTCTAAGCTATGACCTTAGAAATTTTAAGATTATATATTAAATTTGTCTCATTTTAAATTTATAGAAACACGCTGTGTAGATCTCGTTGTTGCACCAGCCTGGTGCCTTTAATTACTGTGTAATATATAGATAAAGTTTGAACAAAACCCAAACGTTCTCAATAAACATTGACTGGCAGAGATTTACCATCACAGGTTAACTAGGCACAGCCCAGGAAAGGGACCTTAAAACAAGAATTTCTTAAGTCTGTCTCAAAGGAAGGCTGTCTCCGTTTAGTTTTCTATATCCTGATTTACAGCTTTTGGAAGGAAGGGAGGCATTATATCACATACCTATCAACAGGAAATAAACATCAGAATTCAGAAACTGTTTTCTTTTAGATTGCATATATCTGGTTCAAGGACGTAGACCTAGTTTTTCTTGAGTCAAATCATTCTTGTTATGGGTAAAAGAAAGTGCCAAAACTAACATTTGCATAATACAGAGAAACATAAAAGACATCTTTCAGTAGTCATTGTTATGCAGATAAAGCTTGGGCAATATTCTTAAATAAACCTTTACTAGACATCCTTAAACTAATTGACTGAGTTATGCCCTCAAGATTGTCTGTTCTATCATTGAAAAATCATAACAAACCTATACAGACCTTTATTACTTGCTTAGGCTTTCTCATTTTTTTGTTAATTCTGGAAATATCCAGCCATCACAATCTACATTCCCATATCCTTCTAATATCTTTTAACTTTGTATTTTTTTAATAACAATGAGACACAATATCATCAACAAATAAACATTCCATCTGTTGTGAGAATTCCCCTCCGACTTTAAGCAATGTCTATTCCTTTCTAAGGTTTCAGTGTCAACCCAAAGTTTGACTAAGGCTTTCCTGGGGAACCAATGAATTTACTGAGCTTACTTACAGAGATGACTGAGGAGTTCCTGAGGCGTATAGGTGACCTGAGAGTACTTACATTGGAAAGCCTTTCCTAGCCTTTCCCAGATAATATACTTTAGTCCTTCCCAAACCCAGGAGACCATATGTGATTAGGGCCAAATTACATACAGTTGGCTGGGAAGAGCAGCTGGATACTCAGGTAAGGGT